AACTAGCTCTGAACAAAGGTCCTGAGGGTGGATAAAACCCGCTGTGGCAGATGATTTTAGAATGATCCACATTTTATGCTTCTCTGTGGTTTTGTCACAGTGCAGCAGGTTAGCAATATCTCTAATAAATGTCTTAACATACCAGATCAGATGCAAATCCTCTTCAGCCCATTACTTTTTCCCTGGAGGTAGTCTTAGTGCAGAACCAGGAAAAGAGTCCAAGGACAAAGGAAGCTTATTCCACGATGGATCTTCATCCCTCACTTGGCTAATGATCCTTTGAACATACCCAGATCTCTGGTACACTGTTAACCTTTGGTGGTGATAGACCTGCCAGGAACATTCCAGCTCCTCAGCCCTGTACAGAGAGACAGTGTGAATAGTCATTCCCTATTAACTAGGCTGAGGAGTCCAAACTAATTAATCTTGCCTAAGTCTGAAGCCACTCCACCAGTCTGGGAATCACTCACTGCCCAATTCCCCACCAGTGAATCCCAGGCCAGAGGCTGCACTTCATCTATTTCCATGTGAATAATTCCTTGGAATTTTCCCAGGTTCAATACAGTGCAGTGGTGCTCAGCTCTGTTCATTGTGGGGCTTTAAGCTCACTTTACACAGTGTGTGAAGGTCATTTCTTTGATTCCATGGCTTTCCCAAGGTGTGTGTCCCTGGTGCCTGCAGTTCCACCACTTCCTGGTGGGATGGGTTTCACTGTGATGAAGGCAGCAGATTGCAGGAATATGATCGTGACTGGAGTGACAGAAAGGAGGGTCTGAGGAATGTGCCAGCACAGGATTTCTGCTCTCAGATCTCTGTCTGAGCACAGGGGCTTTGGGAGAGTTGTTTTTCTGATGATGCAGTGACATGGGATGAAGCAAATAATGTACTAAGTAGGTGCAATTTTTAACAGGACATGTCCAACACTCCAAAGGGTTTCTTCAGAGGCACTGGGCAGTAGGTCATGTGAGCACATGGGGAGGTTGTCCCAAAGCAGCAGCGGTAGTGGATGGAGATGCAATTATTTTTGTCCATAAGAATGAGAATAATATCTCAGGAGTGTGCAGAGACAGGAAAGCTTTGATTTGAACCTCTTCTCCCTTGCTGTTTTCCCAGGTCATATCTGACGCCGGTGCGGGACGAGGAAGCAGAGTCCCTGCGGAAGGCTCGGTCCAGGCAGGCTCGGCAGACACGCAGGTCCACCCAGGTCAGCATGGAGATACTCTCCTTCATGGGTAGGGTGAAGAGAGGGTTAGGGTTAGGGTTAGAGAACCTAGGTGAAGAGAGCTGATGAACTGGTTGCCTGGAGCAGCTGTGGCTGCGCCATCCCTGGGAGTTCCAGGCCAGGTTGGACAGGCCTTGGAGCACCCCGGGCTGGTGGAAGGTGTCCCTGCCCGTGGCAGGGGGTGGGATGGGATGAGCTTTAAGGTCCTCCCAACCCAAACCAGTCTGGGATTCTATAAAAGGGGAAGGATTTTCTTCTTCTCTTATATTGTTTCTTAGGACAAAGGGCATGTCTACCCTCATGGAAAGGTTCTGGCAAAAGTTCCTGCAAACCATTTTTACAAAGCACTTCCCCAAGTATTTGGGAGATAGATTTCCAAACTTTCCTTTCTGCACTATACCTGCCTTTTGGTTTGTAGTGTGATCACATATATTTGGGTTGTTTTGAGTCAGTGATTCTGTCAGTACACTGAGAAATACATTAAAGGCAAAAGGATTCTTCCCTTTCTCTTACCATTGGGATGAAACCTGAGCCTGGGCAAGAATGTCTGCAGCAAATTAAACTGACCTGGAAGGCTCGAAATCTAATTTCAGCCTGGAGAAGGGAAGGCTCCAGGGACAACTTTGAGCCCCTTCCAGTGCCTAGAGGGGCTCCAAGAGAACTGCAGAAGAACTTTGACATGGGCCTGAAAGAACAGGACAAGGGGGAATGGCTTTCCACTGCCAGAGGGCAGGGATAGATGTGATATAGGGAAGGAATTCCTCCTTGTGAGGGTGCTGAGGCACTGGCACAGGTTGTCCAGAGCAGTTGTGGCTGCTCCATCCCTGGGAGTGTTCCAGGTCAAGTGGGACAGGGCTTGGACCAAGCTGAGCTCCTGCCTGTGGCAGAGGTGGAACAAGATGAGCATTAAAGTCCTTTCCAACCCAAAGTAGTCTGTGATTTTGTGATTCTCTGCATAAATTTAAGAATTCTCTTTTTCTTTCTCCCAGGGTGTGACCCTGACAGACCTGCAGGAGGCTGAGAGGACCTTCAGCCGGTCCCGGGCAGAGCGACAGGCACAGGAGCAGCAGAGTGAGAAGGCTGAGAGCACTGAGCCCGAGGACAGCGGCGAGAGGCAGGAGAGCAGGGCACGGTGGGGCAGGAACACGGATGAGGAGGTGATCCTCAGGCCTCAATACTCATTGTTTCAGAGCTGATGAAACCATTTAGTATAGCTGAGGTCAGGAGAAACTCTTTTGAGTATATCTTTATTTTAAGGGGGACAGACTTGCTGCCCCAACCCTGGCAGTGTTGCGTTCCAGATTGGGTAAAGCCTTGAGCAACCTGATCTGGTGGGAGGTGTCCCTGCTCAGGGCAGGGGGTTGGGGCTAGATGATCTCTAAGCTCCATTCCAGCCCCTTAACACACTATGAAACTATGATACTGTAAAAGCAGCAAGGCTGAGGAGCAGCATCTCAGTGCTCTGCAGGTGCTGGAGCTTAGCTGTGCCTTTGCTCTCCACTGGGAATTTCAGCTTTGTGTCTCTTGCCAGAAAATAAAACTCTGTAAATCCCAGAAAGTGGAATGAGAAGGCTAATGATAGAAGTGTGGCCTGGATCCATCCTGGCTGTGCAGTCTGGGCTGAGGCTTTGTGTTCACATTTTTCCAGAGATGTTATGTGTGGAATGGAAAGCTGGAGAGACCGCTGTTCTCCCCTGCCATCACCTCTGGTTTTTCACTCTAAATCATATATTTGTGTTAGGTAACTTGTTTGTCTTGCCATTGGCTGTAGGGCCAAAGGGATTGATCCCAGATCCCCCAGCCCTGGAGGGTACACTCACACTGTGGCTGTACAATGATTTCAACAATCATTCCCATGGAAGGAATGACCCTGATGTGGGGGATGCAGGTGATCACTCCCAGCAGCAGTGAGGAAAACATTACACTCTGAAGAATTAGTGCATTCCCTGAAATCCCAAATCTGATAGTTCCTTTCCATTCTGGTAACTGTGTGTCATGGCTCTTTGTTCCCAGAGCATCTACCGGCGGCTGCGGTGCCCAGCACAGCCCGACAAACCCACCAGCCCTGTCTCCCCTTCCACAGCAGCTCCTCTGCTCTACACAACTTCATACCTGACTCGAACAAACAAATACCTTGACTCTGTGAACCCAGCAGACTTCAGAGGGGCAGCCACAGAGATGGAGAAAAATGGTATGTACCAGGACAGGGAGGAACAAGCAAAGCTTAGGGATTTTTCTGTAGTTTAGAATTTCCAACGTGTAAGGAGAGAGAACAAGTTTACTTGTTACTCTGAGGGGAGCTGCCACCTCACAAAACAAAGGTAACATGTTTAAATGCAATTCCTAATTGGGATGCAACCTGTTGCTTGGAACAGAGGGATGAAAGGGTGGTTTTCATTTTGGATAAATAAATGAGCTGGTGATCCATGGAGCATTTAGATGTTAGACCTGGGGGAGATATTGTCCTAGTACAGTTTGTCCTCAGAACAGGAGTAATTCAGGATGACTTGGGGAGAGCTGGCAGCTGGGGTAACCTCTCTGGCTCTCGTGAGGGAAGGAGTCTGAGGATCCAGCTGTAGTAAGGCATTGATATTCCATGTCATTGGGTTTGGTATCTCCTTTCTAATGCAACACAAGCCAAGATGACCTTGATGAGCTTGAAAAGAACCCCAGAGCCTTAGCAAAAGCAGAGATGTAAATCACTGAAACCAAAGCAGTCTCTCTTTGCTTGGCCAGAGTGTGAAGATCAGGACTCAGACGACAGATCCCTGAGCAAACAGTCGATCCGAGAGCGGCGGCGGCCGAAGGAGAGGAGGAGAGGCACCGGCATCATCTTCTCCACAAAAGATGTAAGTCTGAGTTCCTTACAGAGAGAAACTCATTCTGTAATCTTCAGGATGAATTTCCTTCCAATTCCAAGCCTTGGATTTTTTTCCCAGTCAGTTATTTCCTGTTAGTCCTTCCCTCTGCGGCTCTGTTTCAGGCTGGCACATCCAGAGGACTCACATCTCTGTTTGCCCCATGTCAGGCCAAGCAGAAGGCTCTGGGCAGCCTGTTCTGAGCCCTAAATCGGTGGGAGCCTTGCAGGATTGTGAAAGAGCCCACATGGGAGACGAGAGATGAGAAGGCTAGTTTCTTTGGGAGAAGGAGGTCACAAGCCACTTCAAGTGTTTTCAAATTCCTCTGAGCCCAAATTTGTCTGCACTTTAGGCCCCTGAAAGGAGAACAGTGAGGAGTAAAACCTGTGTCTGGATCCTCTCCCAGGACCAGGGAACACTGCCAGCATAAGTGCAGAAGAGCTGTCCGTGTGGTGGTCATTTTTCTTAGTCCTGGTTTCAAAGGATTTCTTCAGTCTGAGGGAAGAAATCCAACCCTCCAGACTTTGGTTAGAGCCTCAGGTAGGAAAACAGATCTTCTCTTCCAGGAGAGAATAAGAATTATTAAGTCACGTTTAAGGAGTGCAGTCTGGAGTCAGCTGTGATGCTGTGGGAGTTTCCCATTGCTCCATGAAATCCTAGAGCTGTTACAAAGAGAGTAGGGTTATGGAGAGACTGTGCAAGTGCAAGATGTCTGGGAGGGTGAGTCTTGCCTGCTGGAGTCTAACTGAAGTGGAGAAGTTCTTTGAAGGTCAAGATGATGTCAGTATCTCAGACATGCAGAATTCCCAAGTGTCAGGTTTGTTCCCTGTGTGTATTAAGGAATTCCTCATCATCATCGTCCTCCTGACTCTTCAGGAGCATTGGAATGGCAGGAGCCATCAGAGAGTCATTCTGTCCATGGTACCAAGATCTTCTAAATGACCATTAGGTCACCAAACCTGTTCTGATAAGCAGCCAAAAGCAACTGGACAGACATTTCTTTTGACAGAACTGTTCTTAGCGTTAACAGCAAATGATTTCTTCCCTGACAGGGTAGTCAGGCCCTGGCACAGCTGCCCAGAGCAGTGGTGGAGTCACCATCCTTGGAGGGGTTCAGAGCATGTGTAGATGTGGCACTTTGTGATATGGTTTAGTGCACATGGGGTGTTCAGTCAAAGGTTGGACTTGATGATCTTGGAGGTCTTTTCCAACCTTAGTGATTCTGTATGCAATATATTATCATCCTGTGATACAGTTTTGTTGTTCCCAAAGCTGCTTACTAATGCTGTTTGCTTTTCATCCTAGGATGATGATGAAGTTGATGGAAATGAGGAAGTGAAGGAAACTCGGGTAAGTGAGACCTTATGTCTGAATCATTGCTGTTCCACTCTTGGGTGTTGATGGCAAGAAGTCTTTATGGCTTTACTCTTGTTCATGTGAGAGGTTCAAGCTCTGCTCAAGAGCTGGGTATGAACAGAGAGATGGTTCCAAGTACCAAATTCCTTACTGATTTCTCCTCTGAAAGATAAAGAATATCTGCAGACAGGCCTAAGTTCAGAGTTGGCGCTTGGAGAGCAGTTTCGGAGCCTGGGGGGAGTACAGCACCACAGGGCTGGGGCAGTGCAGCCCAGCAGGGCTGGGGCAGTGCCTTCAGGAAGTGAGTCAGGCCATGGTGCTGTGCATGTGGCTGTCAGCTGTCCCCAGGCTGCCTGTGACCTTGGGTCTCAGAATCACCTTGACACTGTCATCTTGGACAGTATGGTCTGTATTTCTGAAACGTGCTCTCCTGTCTCCTCATGGGTTTGTCTTCTTGCAGGAAATTGTCTTGGCAAGCAGTACAGCAGAGGTTGTTCATGTTCCCTTATTCTTGCAATAGTCTCATCATCCTTGGAGCCTTTTCTCTCCTTTTGTAGTGATTACTGAGTCCTTCCAAATTGCTTTGGTTTCATTTGGTTTTGTCTCTTTGTCTCAAACACAGTTGAGCCTGACAACATGCCTGAGTGACAATATCAAAGCTAAGCACATTTCCAGACTTGCAGCAAGATGTGCAGGACCTGGGAGAACCAACAAGCATAAGGCTGAGCAGGGCTCAGCCTGCTCATGTGATGTTTAGTCTTTGCTGCAAAACACTGAGCTTGGGGTAGCCTTTCCCTGCCCTTTGCAATGCAGTGGAGTGACTGAAGCATCACTTTGTTGGAATTAACTGGTTTTTTTGCTAAAAATTGGCAGTAAGACTCTTCAGACTGTTTTTCTTCTTGCAATAGTCAGTCAAACTGCAGCAAAGCCACAGTGAGCATTGCTGGGCCCAGAGCCCCACGTAGTGCTGGGATGGCTGTTTGCATGTGCTTATCTCTCCCTGCAGCAGTTGCTTTCCCAGTGCTTACTCTGCAATGTGAAATAGGGGATATTCCTGCTCACAGCAGCATCACCTGCTCCAAGGAGCCCAGCTCTTCCCACAGGAGTTCCTGCTCATCACAGTGCAGAGCTAGTGAGATCCTCTCTGAACCCTGCAGGAGAGATTGGGCCATTTATCCTCGTTAGAACTGCTTTGACAGTTCTGCTGTCTCACAGTGAGGCTGCAGGAGGGCAGTTTGGTGGTGTGTAAAAAGTAATAAGCATAATAGGGACACCTTGTTTCCAGCAGGAGTGTTTGGGACTTGCTGGGAATGGTTTGTTCTTCTGGGAAGTTGTCCCAGATTAGCTAAATTAAGACAAAAGAGTAAGTGAGGCTGCAGGTTTGAGGCTTTCTGGGGTATAGTCCTGAAATTGCTGAAGAATTTATTGAGCACAGTCCTCACTGTTCATGTCAATGGGACATGGCACCGCACGAGAACCCACCTGCCCAAAAAATTCAAGGTCACCCAGTCTCCTCCAATTAATGGTGCTGGTTTTCCCCAAGTTAACAGCACGAATCACAGAATCATCAAGGCTGGAGGAGACCTCTAATATAATCAGATCCAGCCATTAAGCTGTCACTGCTGTAACCCCTAAACCCTAAACCATATCCTCCAGCACCAGGTCCAGATGCCTCTGAAACACTTCCAGGGATGGTGACTGCTCCACCTGCCTGAGCAATTCCCTGTTCCAGTGCCTGAACACCCTAACAAGGAAGCATTTTCCCTAATATCTCCTCTGCCTCTCCCCTGTCTCAGCTCGTGGCCATGAAGGATTCCTTCTTACACAACCCCATGTGCATTAGACCTTGGTTAAACCCTCCTCCCATTCTGCCAGACCTGCGTTTCCCATTTCTCCAGTGTTTTTATCCAGTTTCCAGGCCATTTTCCTCACTGCATGCCTCCAGCACCTTGTCCCTTGCTCATTCTTCCCTGGGTTACTTTAGATCCAGACCAGAGATTTCAGTCCTTACTGGCCATCACTCTGGCAGGAATCACAGAGCAGCTCCTGCTTGCAGGTCTGGTACAAGAAAATGTACACTTAGCAATCATTAATTCATCAATAGTAATGATTCTAGAATGGCAGGTGCCACCATGTCACCAAGCTGTGACCTTGAACTCACTGAGTGTCCATTTTAGCTGCAGATCCCCCAAGACTCTCTGATTTTATGGGAGCAGTTATTTTGTTTCTCCAGTGTTTATATCTTGGCTGATATTGGGAAGATTTTGATGGAAGCCAAAAAAAGGCCTTAGTTGAAATCCCTGCTGCAGGCTCTGCAGTGCTGGAGATTAGCAAAGGAAAGGTAAAGAGTTTTGGGGGAAAAAGGAGTGAATCCATGTTGTTCTGCTTCTCAGAAGTGGCTGAATTGTTTTGGCTGAGCTCATGAGCACCAGCGTGGGAAACCAGCCCAGACACTCTGGCTGAGCTTAAGGCAACTGAGAGGTCCTGGAATGGGATGTGTTGGGATCCTCCATGTGTTCTGCTCCCACCCTGCCTCCCTCCCTGGCTACAGACTGCCTGGATGCAGTGTGGAAAGTTGGAAGAGCAGACAAAGTTTTATTGTGGAATAAATGTTCAAGGGCACAAGGACTTCAGCTGGAAAATGCCTCTGGGAAAGCAGCTTTAGGAGAGGGTTTTGTGTGGTTCCACTTGTAAGGAGCAGCAAAGGGAAGAGCTTTGAGTGGTCTGGGAAGACCTGAGCTCTAAGAGAGGTGAGGGAAAGTCTGGGCACAGTCTGGTCTCTGTTTCTCAGAAAGTAGAAGTTGGGAGAGTCTGAAAGGTCATGTCAGACCTAGACTGAGTGGGGGAGGTTGGTGTTGGGAAGCATTCCCTGCTCCCTGCAAGTCAGTGACTGCAAAATACCAGTGGGAATTCGGTCCTGGTGGGGCCAGTGAGGATGAATAGAGTCAGTGCAGATAGGGAGCAGTGGCTGCAATTTGGGATGGAGCAGTGGCTCCAGGTTGGGATGCAGCAGTGGGAGGATGATGATGTAGACTAGAGAGAATGATCCGACGTCCCATTTTGCTCTCCTGGCTTTGACTTGACCTTGACTTAGAACTAGAGAATTAATCCCGGACTGGTTTGGGATGGAAGGGGCCTTAAAGATCATCCCATTCCACCCCCTGCCATGGGCAGGGACACCTTCTACCAGCCCAGGGTGCTCTAAACCCTGTCCAAACTGTCCTGGAACACTCCCAGGGATGGAGCAGCCACAGCTGCTCTGGGCAACCTGTGCCAGTACCTCACCATCCTCACAGGGAGGAATTGCCATTGCCATTGCTCTGCCAGTGCTTTTGCACAGCAGGAGAAATTGGAAACAAATCTGGAAGAAAAGTGTACTATATATGACAGCCCACAGAGAACAAATAGAAACTGTTTGTAATCATTTAAGGGATTTGATGTCCTTGCAGCTCTCTGCAGGAGCATCACAGCTGTGCCCGACCCAGGGGAGAGTTTGTCAAAGGGAAACTTTGCATTCAGGGAAAGACACTGAGTGTCATTGGTAAAACAACAATTTCTGGGCAGTAAAAGTGTCAAAGAAAATGTGTGTTGTCATGAAGTGCCTCCAGGACAGGCTGGATAGCCCAGTCTGAACCCAGACACGTTAATGGAATTAACTTTTCTGCAGGAATCACGCTGCACTCTATGATTATGGATTACGTCGCAGTAAGTGGATTAAATAGGCTCCATTGCTGTCTCCCTGGGCTGTGATTTATGGAATGAGTGTTTTCCATTCTGCAAAACACCACTCAGGCCCACTCTGCTTTGTAAATAAGTGTTCTGCCTAATTGTAGTGCTCACAGGAAATCACCAGATGCAACTGGATACCAATAGATGCTAAATCTCTGTCTTAGAAGAGCTCAGTTTCTAAGCTTGATTCCATGAGTTCTAAGGGAAGACCAATGAAGTGGAAAATTCCTTATGTAAACTGAATGTCTTAACATTATTGCTGATTCAGAGCTATGACTTGGCAGTGCTGATTTTGGTGTGCCTGTTTCTCACCTGTCTTTTTGCTTTTGGTGCCATTTTATCCTTCCACAGAGACTTCAGTTCAGCTTTTGTCACGGTGCTGTTTGCCTTCTTGTGGAAGATGGGTTTGGTGAATAACTAGAAGATGAGGAATAGCATTTGGGAAGTGTTTTGTGACTTGCCTGTGGTAGCCAGACTGGGTGTCCTGGGAGGCCTGGGAGGTTCTGTCCCTGCCCTAGTGTCATGCAGGCTGACCTGGTGCCTGTGCACTGTGTTTGTAAGCCAAGGAAGGCTCCGAGTCCTCCACTTTCAGGACTCACATTGCCTAATATGGTAAGGTATGTCTGCACAGGCTGTGCTGTTTTGCTGGTATACAAGGGAAAGTTGACCAGCAAAAGGGAACAAAATAGGTGAACTTCTTGCTAGTTGATAAGAAACTAAAATCCTTTAATCCAGACAGTGCTATATGGTGTTGTTCATCCTATGCTTCAGTGCTGCTGGCCCAGGGGCCCTTCTGGGGATTAAGGCTCTGAGTATTTTCCCCTGGTTTTACCCCTGAATGTTTACTTCCAGCAGAGCTGTGGTGTGACGTGGGAGGGAAACCATCTGGCCCCTGTCCAAGGGCACGTAGGTGGCACTGTGCGTCACTGGCACGGCTGTAGTTAAATCAGAGCATTTCATTCTGGAGAGCACAAGGCTGGGAGAGATTGGCTCTGCTTGGTCCTGGTTATAAACAAAATGCTCTAATGGGCTGTGTGTGCTGCAAGGAAAGATCTTTAGTATGTGTATGGCAATAAGAAATAGCATCAAAGTGCTGCAGGAGCATGAGCTAATGCTTTGCAATAGAGCTTGAATATGGAGAGGTACAGCCTCACGGTGCTGGCAGTGCCCTGTGTTCTCTGGGAAGGGCAGGGGGCAGGCACCAGAGAAATGAAAATTCATTCTGCAAATATTTTGACTAAACTCATTCACATCTGCACAGAGGATTTGCCTTGTGAGTCCTCTAGCCTGACTTGCTTGTGTTGGTTTTCCTTAACCTCAGTGTGTGCAGAAGGGCATCAGCCTGGCTGTTCACTGTCCTCTTGGTGCAGCATTCCCCTCTCAGCCTGGCTCTCAGCTCCTGTTTACAGCTCTGGGGAAAGACACTTTGTGCATAAAGCCAAGTGATCCAAGTGGGCTGTGTGGACTACAGGGTTACAGCTGAATGCCTCCAGGTGAATTCCTCTAGCTCACTGAGTTGCTGAATTAGGAAGGTGTAATGTGAAGCAGAGGCTGTGCTGGGGATGAGGATGGGTAACACAAAACCAGCTACAATCCGATCTGCGAGTCCTGGGAAGGTGAAGCAAAGCAGCAAGTCCTCCAGGAATTATTTCCAAGGTCACAGACTCATAACTATTTAAGGTAACTTTAT